ATAAACTTTTTAGTGCCTAGACATGCTTTTATTTAGTTGAAGTGGGGATAACAGATAGCACAGACAAGACACTGGCTTTTTTAATTAATTTTGCCTACTGGCAACGAAGCGTTTTGATGTGCACCATGCGGCTTGCTAACGCCTGTCTGTCGCGGCAATAAAATAAATACGTATACAAGGCTGACTTTAAATTGTCCCCGGCTTTTCGGCAGTGATTAAATTGTTATGGCTGAACAGCAGCCAAGGAGCCTCGTCGAATCTGTGTGTTTCGTGTGGCCTCGAGTCACTGATTTTCCGGCCAGCAAAATGGGGCTCTGGCTATAACCCCATGTCTAATGACTTTGGATTGAACTCTGGATATAGCCAGCGTAGCTGTGGCTGTGGCTGTACTTCTGTGATTTCAATGGCCTGGGACAGGTTCAATTTATGCGTTTTGCTGTCATTTGTTTTGCTTGACCACACGGCTCGCTTATGGCCTAAGCTCTTTCGGATTCCGGGGCCCAGAAATTTATGCGCCATCACTTTGGCCTTTGAATCCGAGCTGCCTTCCGCTCAAATCCCCTAAAACCTCAGAGAGGGAACCAACCGGCAAGGATCATTCATTTATTTTGCAGGAACTGCCGGCGGCGTTTGACTTTGGCCCTGCTTTAAACTGCTCTCGACCTTTGTCAAAAGTTGTGCGGCCAAAAACTTTGTGGCGAAAATCAAACTGTGGATAATGATGAATGCGGCCAGCACTTTGTGGTCCTTGGCATGTGGGTCTGAATAATTACCGCATCGCTGGGCTCTAACTCGAGTTCTTCTGCTTGATTGTCACCGAAGCGGACCGAGTTGGTCAATTTACATTTCGATGCCGAATTTCAGTGGCGAATTTTTGTCAGTTTTTTTTTTCGTCTAGCGTGCGGTTGTCCAATTTATGGATTTTCCTAGAATTTATCTTGGGTCGACTTGCTCTGATTAGGGTTTGCCGAGATTTATGCTGCAGTTGCTTCCTGCTGCGAGCAGTCCTATTAAGGCTCATTAGGGATCAAGTTCAAGGGGAGACGACGAGGCAATAAAATATAAATGTCATCAGTTTTCCCGTAATGGAAAAGAGCGGTCGCGCTGTACTGTCAGCGGCCACAGAGAAGCTGGTCGCTCATAAACTCATAAATTTGGTGAAAAATGGCAAATCGATTCCGCTTTTTTTGCGGTCATTGTTATTACAAAACTGTCACAGCCCCGGACCAAGTGGAAGGCAAATGCAAGAGCTTCATCTCTCAGCCGATCTCCTCCCTCCATCTACCCCTCCCCCCGCAATCAGTTCTCCCAGGGCAGTTGGCAAATCCCTTTTGATAAAGTGCCTTCCGTCCTGGCAGTCAGAAAGGCTCCGAGCTGTTGGCTCGAGTGTCGCATTATGGCCATTCTCGGAGGCAACGCCTCGATGGCTCCGCAGTTTCCAGCTCAGTTCGTTTTAGTGGCGGATTTGGCAATAAGAGGCGACCAGATTTATGCAGCTGCTTTCATGCGTAATTATTTGCTGACATCTTAATAGTTTTTCCAAGTCTCTTTAGCCGCTTTGACGTTTATTTTCCGACATTTTACAGCCGAAAATAGCTGACAATCGACTTTGCTTTGCTTTCGCTTTTGAGCCAATGCAAAATCGGGCTTCATAAATATTTTAGATCCTACACTTAGGCATAATTGTTTTGCGGAAGCGCTCTCTTTTATTTGCCTGCCGTGATCCGTTTTTATTTCGGCCCCCCTTTTTGGAGCACCTGGCATCTGTCAGCCACACACATCCCTCGGCTCACACATATTTATTGGAGGCCTCTTAATGGGCCCCCGTTTAACGACATTGCCAAAAGCACCATAAATAATACAAATAATAGAAAACGCTGAAATATAAAATTCCGTTTCCGTGTTCGGGCTTCTGGTTCCCCAGAATTCGGCCTCATTCTCATCCTCAGCCTCTGTCTTTGTGTCAATTTGTCGTGTGAGCAACTTTTTGATAGGCCGGAGAGGAGTGTATTGCCCACCGATAAACCTGGCTGCTGGCTGGCGTACTTTTGGCCAACTTCCCATCTACCTATCTTTCTTCTCGCCTCCGCTTTTTTTTTTTTTTTTCCGTCTGTCGCCTGCCTGCTCCTTCGGGCGAACCAAAAACAAGCTTAAGTCCTTGTCGTCCTTGGCGAGGCGACGCCACCTTGGGGCTTTTAAGTTTGACGCTCGTTTATAGACTTTGCACACTTTGCATTTACTTTACGGCGCCGCTGATGCGGCTGATAATAAGACCACGCGGCGTATGCGCAATGCCAGAACGGTAGGCAGAGGCATTCAGGCATCCAGGCAGGCAGGCGGGCAGGCAGGAAGGGAGGGCCCAAAAAACACAGCGGCAAAAACAATGAAATAAGCGAAAGTTGGCCAAAGTTTTTACAGCCCGATACACACACGCCTCGGAGACACCAATCCAGGATCCAGCATCCAACATCCAACATCGAGCATCTCGCCTGCGGCCATTCGACTCTTGAGGAACTCTCGAGCCGTGCTTTTGTTTCGCCGAAGCTTGTTTTATAACTTTTTGATTGTCTTTGCGCCAAATTTGTGCAAAATGGCTCAAGTCTGTGGGCCAAGGAGATACTCGTCGCACCTGCAAATTGTGTGCGGCATACATTACGGCTGCCATGTATAATATTTGGCTTAATCTGATTTCTGCCACTCAAGTTAACTTCGACGGCAGCGGCGAAACAGAAACAGAAACAGCAACAGCGGGTCAAAACTTTGCCCGTGGCAGAGCAACAATTTATAGACCGTTTACAATATTTATTTCGATTGGTAGGCCAACTTTTCCTTCCTCATTGAGAGGTTATTTTCCCCTTTTTATGGCTCTATTTTTTGTGAGTGCGGTGAGTCCATTAAAGTGCAATGCCAGCCGGCGAAACTTTCATTAGATATGCCAAAAGCGTCTTTGCACAAGTCAGTACTCATAGCCCAGAGGGCGGAAGGAGCAGCTTGCTTTGTCAAAGTCCTCGCATGTCAACCGGCAGGCAGAATGGCAGGAGGCATCCTGGCATCCTGGCAGAGAGGCAGCCAGTCAGCCAGGCAGCCAGGAACAGCCACGCAGTCAGTTAGTCTGCTGCAGGCTACGGGCGTCCATCTCCCCGACTGTCGTCGCCTGTCATCGGTGTGTTGTATGTGTGTATGTTGTATGTGTGTGTGTGTGTCAGTACACATCCTTGTCCTCGCCCTCGTCCTGTTGGCCCTGCGGGCAGGACGAGCCCTGCCATTGAGGTTGCACCGAGTGCACATGCTCGCCTTGTTATTGCTGCCGACCACAGTTGCTGGCGGCGCTCGCAATTATTACATTTGTACGGACATGTGGCCACATTAAGTATACGACGCGAAGGCCAGCCAGGACCTGCGGCTGTCGTCGCTTTGGCTCCCACTTTCGCCTTGTCGCCCAAGTGGCCGGGCCTGCCACAATATTTACTCAAATGTTGGTGCGGTGGCCAGCGCACTGTTTAGTTAGTCAAATTGATTTATGTTTTGGTTTAATTTCAAAATTAAATCCAACTTGAAGAGCTGGCCAAACTGGATTAATCCTTTGTGCGCCAGTATGCCCGTCACGTGCGCCCTTTGTTGCTTCTGTAAATAAGTGCTCGACAGCCAGTTGCCAACTCAATTAGGCCATCAAGCGGGGCGGCCTCCTAATGAACTCCACTTCGCTCCGCCATTAGGCCCGACCAACGCCCACATAAATAATTCAATCACAACAATTTCAGCGCACAAAATCAATAATAATCGCATCAAGTGTCTGAGGGCAGTTTCGATTACACTTTCCCGACCAGGCAACGTGTTTAAATTGCCAAGGAGCCCACATACTGGCTCCATCCTCCGGCCGCTAATCTGTGCGGGCGGAGAAAGTCGCTCCATAAAGATTCATTTCGTTTAATGACTTGAAATTGATTTCACTGTAACATCGGCGCATTTTATATGACGCTGCCTTCTCGAGGACTCCGGCCGGGGTAAATTGCAAAAACGTGCTTTACGACAGGATGATCTCCTTCTCGTTTCGGAGCTCCTTCTCCTCAGCTCTTGCTCCCTTTTGGCAGCTCCAGCTCCTCCTGGGCGGATTAATTTTTCAGCAATTACGTTGCCAGCGACAACGTGTAATAGATACAGCTGAGGAGCCCGTGTTTTACGAGCTGCTCATTGGGTTTTTGATTAACTTTCCCCGAAATGAAGCTGTAATGAAATTTAACTTTGTGGCGTACTTTGGTCCCCTTATTGGTTCGTTAATCAAATCAAACTGCTGAAGGTAATTCTCAACTCAGTTACATTGGCAATTCAATACGCCGGGCAACAAGGATTGCATGATGCAAGTGCGCCGTGCTGCCGATAAGCCAGTAATTTACAATTTATTAAAATTAAAAACATGCACAACCTGTAAACTGTCGGACATTGCCCACTCCAATCGATCCCTGTTCTCCCCCTCCCCATCCACCACCTCCTTTTAAAGGACCCGAGAAGACCGTGGCGGAATGTTTATGAAGTAAATAATCGAAGCGTGCCCAATGAATTATTCATGAGTCTTATGGAAAAGCCAGCAGCCAGAGGTGGCAGGTGCTGAGAACGCGTCCAGTGCGTGACTTTTGGCTCTTTTCGGAGGGCCAAGAAGGACCATCCGGAGTCGTTTTTCCCACACTTCGACGTGAAGTTTGCAATTAGCCAGGCGGAGACCTTCTTTCGGCGGTTTTGCATATGCATTAATTGGTTGAATGGCATAAACTAAAAATAATTCTGTGCGGGCAAACCCAAACTATTCAAACAGGACTTGTGACTTTTTCAGGGAACTGCTCCTTCTACTGAGTAAAAATAAAGGTAATTGGAAAATGAAAAACTTCGACAACAACGCTTAAAAAAAAATTGGCTTTGAGTGCACCCAGAATGAATCGAAAAGCAATCAAAAGGGCACCACTAATCGTCAAAACCAACATAAAGTTGCCCGGAAAAGTACTTACTTATTGGCTTTGTTTGCTGTAATCCTAAAAGTAAAGCGATTATCCAAAACCTATTCATATTTCCGTATTGATTTGCAGCTGCAGTGGCTGATTGGTTTAAGCCTGGCTTAGCCTTAGATTGAAATCCGAAATGGGCACTCGTTACTCTCGAAACATCCAAATGGGAGCACTTGAGCGATCTGATTATCTTCACAAAAACAACTAGCAACAATTTATCGGTGGCTCTGGTTCTGAGAATCGGGGGTTCTAATATATTTTTTATTTGGCAAATATCGATCGTTATCGAGCTGCGAATCGAGGGGAATGGAGTTACATTTTTGGCCGAACGCGCGCAGCTAATTAACTCCAGCGTATCGCGCGCACCCGCAGAGCAAGGACCTCGCCGGCAGGTGTCCTGCCCAGCCGCTTGGGAACTCCTTACACTTTCACTCTCACCGTCACCCACTCCACTTTCAGGATTCACTTTCACTCGGGCACACTACACTACACGGCAGCACTTTGGGGCTGAGGCAGTTGCTTTTGCTTTGGCTGTAAACCACTTTCACCGCGAGGAGGCTCTTTGCATGCGCGCACTTGTTGTGCTCGTCGCAAGCGATTTTCCTAGACTGAAGTGGCAGGCGACACGCACCGCCTGCCTGGAAAGTCGGTGGCCACTTTTTGGACGCCCGAGAGAGAGAGTGGGAGCAAAAGCAAAAGCTCTCTGGCCGAGCTTTCGTGCGCTCACTTATCCGGCCAGTTGTTGCGCCGCGGCAACAGTTCACAGCCGAGTCCTTCCTGGCCCGAGTCTCGAAAAGCCAGGCCAGCGCGGCCTGAATCAACAGGCTGCTGCCACAGAACCATTCCATTCCAGGCACTTTGTTTGCGGGCGGCCAAAACAGTCGCTTTAAATGCATTAAGTGTGGCCCAGCCGTGGGCCACTCCGCTGATGGCACGTCCGCCCGCTGGCCCTGTTTTTTTTAATTACCCCGGCAATTGTCTGTAATTGGTTTTTGGAAAAAAAAAAAAACAATTTGTGTTATAGTTTCTATTATCGCTTTATGACATAAACAGTCAATTTAAGAGCTAACGGCCTTTGGTCGGCATTTCGAACTTGATTCGTATGCTATGTTTACTTAATTACTTAATCAATTTGCTTTAACTGACTTCTCTTAACCAAATATTTGGGCTCCTCGTAATTAGTTTTTAAAGGGCAAGGAGTATTAATATGTTTTGTTTGCCAACAAAGTAGGGTTTTTACTAAAATTAGTTTCTGATTTAAATCTTATTTGTGGTTGTATTTCTGTCCAAACCAGCTCGCTTTTCCAGACGAATATTTAAACGTGTTCGTAATTTCTGGTTAACGTACACCAACCCATACTTTGTAGTCCGACTCCGCCCACATTTTGCCTTGTTGGCCAAGGCACTCTAATTCATGCAACTCCTTCCGCCGCCCTTGGCCGCGTCAACACATTACTCATTCCCGTTAATATCCTTGTTGACAGGTATCCTGTGCTGTTTCGATTCCGACTGCAAGAGCCCGAAAAGCCCTTGGCTGTAGGCCTGTCATTGCCTCCAGACGTTCCGAGTGGCATTTAGGTTTTGATGGAATGAATGAACACAGAATTATTTAAGCTAATTAACCATTTAAGACGTTCGCACACACAGGATCTCCATCTGGGGCACGTGTTCGTCAGCTTTTATGGGGTATCTACTTTTAAAATTAACGACGGTGTGAGAAGCGCCGACCTGGCACATGGCCATAAAGTTTTACGTTCGGCTGCGAGGATCAGGTCCTGCTGGCGTATCCTGCGCATGGCCATTTAATTTTCCCCACGTCCGTCCACTTTTAATTACAAACAATCAAATCAGTTTGTGTTTGTTTTTTTTCCGCGAAGCCATCGTGAAACTTGTCCGGCCTGAGCCACATCATTGTCACAGCGACGGCGACAAGGACTGCAGACAGGGAGGTCCTGCACGGGGCCACCATTTTGTTTTCCCTGTGTGTTTGGACTTGGGCTTTGACTGCCAGCCTGTCATCATTAGTGACCACAACACAAAAGTTGACATTGCGCTAAATGGGAACACGGCCATGGCTCCCCGACTTGTTTGTTTGCGGGGGCCGATGTATCTAGTATAAGGCATTAAGTCATAAAAAGCATGGTAGTCGCTAATTTGCGAAATTATTTCACAGGACTCCCTTCGAGGTAACCAATGCTCTCATTAGAAATAATACTTGTTACCTCGACCAGATATATCTCCACGCTTTGTCCAACAAAAAGCGATGGTATCGGAACGCTCGGGAAGCGCCATGTAAAAACAAATATGCGTTTTCCGCTTTGCACGGAAAATGGAAAACATGCCAACAACCAAATATTTACTTCTATTGCCAGACCGTGTTTGTTTATGTAAATGTGGGGCAGGTTTTGACGGAGTAGTAATTTTAGGGTTCGTGCCATTAAAATACAACTAGAACTACATTTTATTAACAAAAAGTTATGAGTTGCATGTGCAGTCATGTGAAGAGTGATAGAAAACGATTGCTAAGCCAACAAAACGGATATTTACAAATTCCAAACGCGGAACTAGAAATTTCGGGTTGCCTGAGGTCACAAGAAATTTGCTGCTGTAAAAATGCCCTGGGAAATTTGCAGCCCTGCGCCACAGGAACTTTACACCGCCGAATGCCTTTCTATGGGGTTTTGGGTTGGCGGGACACGCGTCCTGTCCGAAATGCAAGCTAAACCAGCGCCAAACAAAAGCTCGGCCTTTACTCTGTTTTTTGCGTTGCCTTTTCAGCTGGTGAACAACAGCCAACAAAGCTCATTTACACGGGAAATAGCCTAAGTGCAAAAACCATTTAAATGCAAATTAAGCACAAAGTGAAAACATGTGAACAAAGCTGCTAAGCACACACACACACACACACACACACGCACGCACCCAGTCACCCCGTGGATACCACGTATTTGGGCCAGGCTTCTGCTTCAGCTCCTGCTTTTGGCTCCTAACGTGGCTTACACATTGGCTCCGGTTTCAGGTTTGGCTTCGCAGGAATGCCAAACTTTGGGCTGCTCTAAATGTAAAATAGTTAACCACCGCCAGCAGCGCCACAACAAATACCTTTGGTTGCCTTCCGTCTGCTGGAGCTCTGATTTGAATAAATTCATATGCATAAATGGGCCAGGGAAGTCAACTGCAGCTGACAAAATCAACAACCTGCTCCATGGCCGGTAATTGAGTCAAAGATTCAGGTCCCAAGATACGAGTGTGGCCTGCCATTCGATGGTCGTTGGTTCGGACTCCATAGTCCGGTGTCCAAAGTCCGGAGTCCGATGTCCGGCAACTTCACGAGCAATTTACCCGCTGCGTATCAGCCAGCCACGAGCTAATGAAGTTACACACATCCAGCTGCAGGGACTGGTTTTATGGCCCAGGTGCATTACATTGAGCCAAGGGAGCCGGCGATTGCACACCAGTTGAATGAGCCCGACTCGATGGACAGCCAGGGGCTGAAAGTCCTGGTCTCGAACGGCTTTTGGCTCGGGGAGACGTCCTGAATGGCTGCCAGGGGCGAGTGCAGAAAGTATTTACTAGGTGGTATGGCCATTACTTTTAAACGCTGTTCCACAGTCAGTACCCATTACTTTGTTTCGTTCTTACAACTTAATTTCATGAGGTCCTTTTTAACGCAAAATTTATGAAAATTCATTTAACATTTTCTGATTCTTATTTATTGTATTTTGATTATCTTAAATATTTTTCCAATCCTTAAATACAAAATTTATAAGCGCTATCTGTTGTTAAGAATTTTTTAATGAAATTTCAGGCCTAGTATTTGAGAGGGAACTTCACCCCGTTGAAATCCCTCTGGGCCTGCACCTGATTGATGGTCGGCTGCGATTTCTCTTCCTGCAATGGCCGAGTGCGCAGTGCGATAGTCTTTGATTATATCACACCAGAAGGCCCAGATCCCGACTGCAAGTGTGCGAGTGCTTCGAGTGTTTGCCTTATTTATGTGCACCGAACAAACAGCGCGGCGAGGACATCACTCCCCGGGGGCAAGTGGGGAGCGGTGGCGATGGTGTTACCCAGCTGCTGCAAGTGGAGCCATCGCCGCAATTATTTTTACCCGACGGAATGGAGCGAGTGGAGAGGTTTAACACATTCCGCAATTGAACCCGATTGGCTTGATAACGACGCTCCAATGCAGAACAACTGGAGCTCTTTGTTTACCGAAGAGCTTTGTCAGTGGCGGATCCACGGGGGGGGGGGAAATTAGGGAAATTTCCCCCCCCCTTGGAACCACAGAACCTGAAAATTTTACTTGTTTGCTATGGTTGACTTTTCAAATATAACCACTTTGTTTACCAAAAAATTGGGATGGATAATTTTTGTTTTATAATTTGTACTGTATTTCTCTCGCAATAATAAGTTTGAACCCCAAATCGAAGAATATGTTTAATTTCCCCCCCAAGAATCGTCTCTGGATCCGCCACTGGCTTTGTTATTTAGCAGAAACACGACGGGCGTGTCATTATTTGCCTATGCGTGACAATGAATCACTGGGGAATGGACGCGGCTAGAACAGCAAAAATTACTTGTCCACATTAATTTTTAAATCAATGTATCGATTTAACTGCGTATATGGTACTGGCTGCTTGGAAAAACAAAACCAATCTGGCTGGATCAACTTTGGCAGCTTAATACGTAAGCCCTGCCATCTGGCAAAAGTTTCGCAGGACCCGCCACATAAATTAAGTCGTATAGCGTAATAAAGTCCTGCTCATGATACTTGGCTCGACATTAGCTTGTTGATTTTGTGACCGTTCCGATGATGGGTTCATTCTTGTAAAATCTTATTAACTTTCATTGTAGCTGCTGTTGTTGTGCTGTGTGTTGTGTATACGTATGTATCTGGGTGTCTCTGTGTGTATCAACTGTCACATTGAAGTTTTGTCTCGCACGTTTCGCTGCCCAAAGGCGACCCACATTCGCTCTGCTCACAGTTCATTTGATATTAATATAGACCACTGGTGCCACTGATGATGATGCTGCTGCCGCTCTGCCGTTGCCGCTACATATGTTTTCATTTGTTTGACGCTGATGATGACAACCCTCATCAAAACTTTGTACCGATGGCCGCTCGATTGCTCGGGCGAGTGGTCAACGGCTGTTGACAGGCCACTTTGACATTGTGTGGGCTCTGGAAAGGACATGGACACAGGACTCGTTCTATGTGTGCGTGGGTGTATGTGTGTGTGTGAGTGTGTGGTAGAGTGATACATAATTAAAAATCGGAGGCCAGCGGGCGACAAAGCCGGGGCAACTTTTGATGCCACTTTCGGATATACCGCACACACAGACAAAACACCCACCCACACAATTTAACTTAATGGCCAAAGGGACAAAGTTTGTGATTTTCAACATGAAAGTAAACAAGTTGCTTCCAGGTAATTTATTAAGCTTCGACTGGCCGTGCAACCCAAATTGGTAGCAACTCAAGCAAGATGGAGCAATTGAAAAAGCCAACGGAAAAACGCAGAGGTGCAAAAGTCGATGAAAATCAAGTGCTGCGAGGGGGTGGATTCCAGGATATGGCCAACCCGA